ATATAATTTTCTTATAAAAATAATAATTAATTATTTTGTTATGACTCGATAATTATCCTAATTATATTTTAAATTTTTTAAATTTTAAAATGAGATGTTTATCCTCTATTTAATTATGTTTATTCGCAGTTAGTTACACAATTCAAATATAGAGCTTTAATAAGTTGTACTTACGTTCAATTTACTTATAATCTTGAATTTTAAGTAATATGCATCAATAGACAATACTTCATGCATAAAAAATGTTTTTAAGAGTTTTTGTCAAATGCTTAGATATAAATATAGAGTTCAAAATATCATGCCAATAATTGAATAACAAATATCTATTTCATGCATGTAGTTAGCAAATATATATATAAAAGAGAGCATATACAAAGGGACCACTCATAAGCCAGGTTATTAAACTCTCCGAAGATAAGAGCATATCCTGTGATTTGGTTAGGATTTTATAGATATCAAAGTAAAGCCAAACAAAGAAACTTAAACAATGGCTACTTGCTTCATCAAGGTAGTAGTAGTAGCGTCGATTGACATCCACAAGAACCAACATCGCCATTCAAGAAGTTTGTCTATTCACTATTTAATAATATCGGTTGGTTTCAAAGCGAAAAGCTTCATGTCCCAAGGCTTCCTGCAAATCGAGATTTTTCCGTTGAGTTAAGTTGTATCTGATGAACATGGAAGTATAATTAAAAGAGTAATTTATACGTTTAGAAAGTAAAGAAAGAAATTGAGTGAGCACTACAACGAGAATGATCCGTTTACGGCATTTTTAACCCAACACTAAAAACACAAAGATGGAGTGTTTTTATCTTCAATCCGATACTAAAACACTAAAAATTATAGAGGTATTTAAAGTTATTTAGATGTCAATAAAGATGGTCTTTATAAACGATATTTTAATATAGTATTAATTTTTTTTTAATTATATATATAATATTAAATTTTTATAAATACGTATATTATTTTGTTATTATTAAATCACCATATTAGTTTTCTTATATGACACTCATTGAAAAATGTTACTTAAAAATGTCTAAAAAACAAACCTTATTGTAACGGAAAGAGCGTAGCAGTTATATATAGCAATGGTGAATTTTATGAACGAAGATGATGGTTTGAGCGGATCCAAAAAACCGATGCATTACTAGAAGATGAGGGTTTTAGATGATGACCATGTAAACCACAGTAAATGAAATACGAACAGTTAACATAATATTGTCATATATCTTAGGTTGTAACTTGATCATGACCCTATATGTAGGGCTGTAAACGAACCGAACGTTCAGAAATCTGTTCGTGAACTGTTCGGCGGGAAGTTCGTTTATGTTCGTTTATTTAATAAATGAACGAACATGAACAATTTTTTTTGTTCGTTTAGTTAAACGAACGAACATAAACAAGAGTCTCATTCGTTCATTTATGTTCATGAACGTTTGTTCATTTACCGTTCGTTTACGTTCGTTTATTATATTCGTTCGTTTATGTTCGTTTATATATTAAATTTAATATATAATCTTTTATTTATTTACTTTGAATTTAAATAATATTTATTTATGTTTATTTAACCTGTTCGTTTAGCCCGTTGGTTTATGTTCGTTCGTTTACGTTCGTTTGGCATGTTAACGAACGAACATAAACGAACACGAACATACCTTATTTCTAAACGAACGAACACAAACACAAAGATTTTCGTTCGTTTACCGTTCGTGTTCGTTCGTTTGTTCGGTTAAGTTAAACGAACGAACATGAACAAGCCTCCGTTCGTGTTCGTTTGGTCGTTTACAGCCCTACCTATATGAGATGAAACTCTTTCAATTCATGAGAGAAAGTGCTTTAACAGCTAACTTGCACGAGATTCAACACCCGAAGCTACTGGGAAATATTACTTAACATAGACCCCTCTTGAACCCTAGTTTTGGAGTTTTCGCCCCAACCTAGGTTAGCCACCGGAGGCAAGCGTTAGATCGTAGCTTGCTTAGCCTACCCTACCCTAAAAGTGGTATGGTAGGTGAGCGAGGCCTCCTCTGTCCGTTTGCTCTTCCCGATTGCATGCAGAGATTCGTAGGGGTTATAGTTTAATTGGTTAATGTTTTTATTCTATCATCTCAAATACCACATCCTAATGAACATGACAACTTAGAAGTAGTAAAAGTGTGTCACTCATGTCGAAACACTTTTAAATAAAAAAGAATACTCTTTTTCAAGTAACATAAGTAGATATTGGTCGTTTTATATATGTAGTAAATTTCCATATACCCAACGATTCAAAGTCGACTCTTCCAAGTTTATGTTGATCGGAAATTTTATCATATTAAATGTCGGGTTGAATTAAAGTTAAAATAACTAAACCATATGATAAACACAAATCCATTACAAATATTTTTCGTCACCTCAATTAATTCATCAAAATTATTTAAAAAGAATATCAAATTCCACTTGCATATTAATGTATTGTCTAAAGAATGATTAAATTTATAATTAACATATAGGTCATAGTAGTTAATTAGATTTCAATTTAATTGTATAATTAATTAATTTAATAACTTTTAGATTATGAATCGAAGTCTTATATAATATATAAATATCATCGATTTACTAATCATTTAAAAGATATAATTAAAATCAACATAATTTCTGCTCTTTTTAAGTTTTTATATTTTATGTTAAGGGGCTTTTTACCTAAATGTTTAACCGGTAAGTGCTTACCGTTAGGAGTCAATACTATAATTTATTTTATTGGATAAGATTGTAGTACATCAAAACGTATCCCATGCAACAATTTACCTGGTAAACGCTTACCCGGGTAAGAGGCGTCACCTTCACTTACCAGGTAAGACTCTCCATTCTTATCATCATTTTTATCGTGTAAGATTCTTGGTTCATAAGATATTTATAAGAGAATTTCAATACTATTAATATCTTTTTGGTACTAAAATGTTACGTTACAAAGTACAAGGACCAAAAATGTAAAAAGGGGAAACGCAAAGGATTGTAATTGGAGGGGCGGCAACCGTCTATTGAGGTGGATTGGAGTAGGTAATCGACAAATATGTATATATAAAACAACCAATCATATCGTTTCATTTTTATTTCAAATTATATAATTTTAGAATTTGCAAAAGTGATGCTTAAATCAATTCTTTTAAATTGAGATATTTGGACCAACTTATTATATTAGGAGGTCCGAAAAACAGTTAGAAAAATCTATAATGGTCTTACAAGATTTGTATTTGTGATCTTTAAGAAGAATTACAAAATACTTTATTTTTATTGTCACTTGAATTAATCCCACAAGATTGCTAAGTATTATTTGTCACATTAGTTTTCATAAATTATATGAATTTTAGGATCAAATTCAAGAAAAATCGAAAAATATAGTTGTTAATTTTGTGTAGGTCATCGATGTATTTTGAGTTTTTGAACAAGGATGCGAGTTCTTACTTTGTTTTGTGTGATTTTTATGGTTTTTAAACACCTCTTAATCGGGATTTTGTAATGTGGTTGTGGAGAGCGAACCATTGCTACATGATTGATCTCACATGTTTTATGAATGGAAAATGTGGTCCAACAGAAGTTCATAATAGAATGGTTTGGTCTTATCAAAATTAAAAGCAAATATTGCCATTATTACACATACCTGTAACTCAACGATTAGAGAGAAAACAAGTTTGCAATTTCAATCATCCAGAGAGAGAAGGCTCCTTCCTACAATGGCTACTTTGACTATCCCACCAGTCTTGTCATCGCCTCGTGATGACGCTATGCACTTATACAAGGCTTTCAAGGGTAACCCTCTTTCCATTTCACCTCTCTTCCACTTATGTTTCCGAATTCCGTGTCTTATCAGCGATACGATCAGTTGTTTTTTTTAACTTATGAGCACAATTTCATGTTTCCTACTTCAATTTCATGGAAGCACTCAAATATTGTTGGAAGTTTTGATTGAACGAGACGAAACTGAGCTTTGGAATTTTCTATTTTGTTTCAATTGCCGTTCAATAATGGATGATTTGCGGTGTTTAATTGTCCTTAATGATTCTTGTACTAATCATTCCTTTCCAAACGAGGAAGAAGGAGAGCTATGTGAAACATGTTACTTTGCAAATGCAACATCATTTCCAATTGATTAGCAGACTGTACTTTTTTCGAAGCTCGTATCAATTTTGAAGTTGGAATTGACGAGTTTCAACATTCGAAAATGAGATCGTCGCTTTCTTCTTTCTCGTTACGAAATATACTGTTGATGATTTGGCTATGATTTTATAGTTACTGTTGCTTTTTGCTTTAATCCCCAAATATTAGGGTTGTCACTCCAGAGAAGATGTACCTACCAACTCTCCCTGTTTTCTTTCGTTCTTCTACACGGAGAAATTTAGGCAAATCTATGGCTACCACAAAAAGATGCAATGAAACTCGCAATAATTATTTTTTGTACAATAAAATGTTAATTAACATTTTCTTTCCTAATAATTAGATAGTTTTTTTTGTTAACCATGGGTGTCCGGACCGTTTACGCCCACCTTGACTAAGTCTAATCCCAACGGCCCAAGAGAACTGCCAAGAAAATCCGCAATGGCTTTGCATTAAATGAAAGAATGGAGTTCTGCAGTAGGGTTCCTCCAATGGAGTGACTTATAAGACTCTCTTTTCTGCATTTTTCTGGTTATGTTATTGCCAACTCAGCAATTGAAGAACTAGCATAAGACTTTACAATGGTAACAACTAATAAGAACCTTCATTTGTGGATCCCATGTATTATTTCAACATCGATAATATGGATATACAAATAAAAAATACATAAAAACCTAATAATATGTCATTTAACACCAAAATCAAGATAAGAACCAAGTTTTTTTGTACAAGAACTCCAAGGATTTGAATGACTTATAAGAACTTTCTCCAATGGTAGTTCTTATAAGTCATTAAGTCGCTGCATTTTTTTGCATATAAGAACCTCTTATTGAAGATGTTCTTAATCGTTTCATTCAGCCTTAACATTTAAAGGTCAAATGGATAATTTTTTAACTTTTATTTTGATTTGAGTTATTCTGTCTTAAAAAAAGAGAGATTTTAACAATACCAAAGACTAGAGAATTCACACAACAAGGCAACATACCATCTTTTCATTTTAAATTGCAAGTATATTTATCTGTTAAATAACACAAATAGCAAAATCTGCTGAGATATATCTTTCATTCAATGATTTTCAGGGTCTGTAATGTGATGAACTTTTATTAATTATTCATACTCAATCATGGATGACTGAGAAATAACAATGTGTGGTATATTCAGGACTTGGTTGTGACACTTCAGCTGTTATCAATATTCTTGCCCATCGTGATTCAGCACAGCGTGCTCTCATTGCAAATGAATATAAGGTTATGTACTCTGAAGACCTGACCAAACGACTCTCTTCAGAGCTTAGTGGAAATGTCAAGGTACTATCATTGTAGTATATCTTCTTTAATTTTATTGCTTCTTTAAATATCATCTGACACTGTTCTTAACTGTTAAGATCGAAAATGTGAAGTTACCGAGTTATAACATTTGTGTTTTGAAACTATCAATAGTTTATGACATCCCTCCCTAGTCCCAGAAAACACAAAGATAACTAGTATTACTACGATAAACCTATGGTTGAGCTTGTCCTTTTATTCTTTAATTCTAAGAAGGTAAGTTGTGATTGCATTATAAATTTGATTAATTGGAAAGGGACAAAGGGGAAAAAGATTGAAATGATATTTCCAATGATTTCAGAAAGCAGTCTTACTTTGGATGCCCGATCCAGCACGAAGGGATGCAATCATACTGCGAGATGCTTTAACTACTGACATTGATCTAAAAGCTGCTACTGAAGTCATATGTTCTCGGACTCCAACCCAGCTGCAACATCTTAAGCAACTTTACCATGCCCTTCATGGTACTTACCTTGAGCATGCCATTCAAGCTCAAGCTTCTGGGGACCTTGAACAGGTTGCTCCTTACGCACTCTTTTTCTGTGTTTCACCTGTTTGCTTATAAATAGTATTCCATCTGCCCCAAAAAAGGCACCTCTCCCCAACAAATCATCTTGTGCCAAGTCAAACATTGCATTTTTTTGGACGGACGGAGGACATAATTTCATATTTCATAATTAATGTTAACTAGTAAAAAGTTCTTGGATCCTAGTGTAAGCATAGGGATGTATCTTGATCATTCAATATGATTTTTAAGTGGCTTCTTGAGAGATCTATGCCAACAACACTTTTTTACTTTGGGATTTAAATCAACATAGATGTATAAATTTGTGATTGTTTCGTTCATTTTGTACTTTACAGTCATATTAGGCAAGCTTCATTAATCTTTATAGCTTTACTTATATGTAACGATGTAGGCTAGGTTCACATGATATTTTATCAAGTTTTGGCCTCGTTTAAATTTACTGCTGATTACATTTAGTGAAAGATTCGTTTCAGTTTTATTTCTTTATTTTTTGTTTTGTCGTTCTTATATTAAAATATGAAGATATAGTTTGAAATACACACTTTTCTGCATTCTCCCACATCCATAGTCTTCACGTGTCAATATTATTACTTACAAAGTTTATCTAAATAGTTTTCAGTTCTGGTATACAGAATAAGTTAACTCTTTAATATCCAGACAATAATTTGCGGCCTTGACTCTCCTTGTGCAGTTGCTTCTGGCATATTTAAGTACACCTCGTAGTGAAGGGTTTGAAGTTGATAGAACGATGGTAGATCATGATGCTAAAGCTCTGTATAAAGCTGGGGAAAAGAGACTGGGAACCGATGAGAAGACTTTTAGAGTCATTTTCAGTGGAAGAAGTCGGGCACACCTTGCTGCTGTCAGTTCTGCATATCATAGTATGTACGGGAGGGAACTGAAGAAGGTAAGTCTTCGTGACAGAGCCTTATTTTATCTTGTTTTTGGCATAATTTTGGGCGGTTTAATTACACTATGTTTCTTTCTTTTAAAATGGCGAAACACACACCCACACCCTATTTACTTACTGCAGGTGGTAAAAAGTGAAACATCGGGAAACTTTGAGCATGCCCTTGTCACCATCTTACAATGTGCTGAGAATCCTGGGAAGTACTTCGCTAAGGTATCATTTATATGTATCCAAAATTTGTTTTGCTTTGCATACTCTCTCTCCTATCTTGTACGTAAAGACACATCTGGACTTCACTAAATCTAACTTGAGTTAATTTTGATCTTTCGTGGCCATTTAGAAGCTGTGTTAAGGGCATATTTGATGAGCAAGAACAAATTGATATATTTGTAATTGTCAAACGAGTTTTCCTTTCTCAGTTGAAGAGGGAACTGATTTTAGTTTTTCTGGTTACCATGGTAGTTGAAATCTTTTGCCTAACTAGTCCACAAGAAGTGTATGTGCCCAGCCTCTCGGGAGGTCAAGGGTTCAAACCTCACCAAAGCTGAGAAACATGAGAAACTTTATATGCATAGCGCCCTCTTCACATGGACCAGAGAAACTTTACTTTTCAGCCACCCGACATACCCCTAAAAGGAGTTGAGAGCACCTAGCAGGATCATACCTGAGACATGAATACATAATGCTTCATGAGGCTCAAGGGACGACTAGGTCAACGGCCCAAACACTTGGGGGTTTAAAAGAGGGCATTATTAGGCAACTATTAGGCAACTATTACTCTTCTTCTGGGTTTAGATTCGCGTTATGTGATGTACGGTCAAGGCCTTGCGTGCAAAGGTTGTGGTATAATGTCGGTTTCCTGAAAAAACCGACGGTTTAAGGAAAGTAAGGAACTTTGTATTTGTTGAACCTCCTTCAAGTAACTAGCTATCAAAATGGGACCACTTTGCTTAGAATGGAAATTTTGAAAGTTCTCTCTCAAAATAGCAACGATGCCAAAGTTCTTTAATCACAGTCCGTCCACTTCCGTTGCAAATTTACTAGATCACTTTGGTTTCCTTAGGTTGGGTTCAAATTCTCCATCCGAGACCATCTTGTTAGGCTTATTGTTGATTTGAAATACTACGATTGCAGGTCCTGCGTAAAGCAATGAAGGGGATTGGAACTGCTGATAAAACGCTGATAAGAGTAATCGTTACAAGAACAGAGATTGATATGCAGTACATTAAGGCCGAGTATCATAAGAAGCATCATAAAAGTCTGAACGATGCTGTTCACTCGGAGACATCTGGCCATTACCGAACCTTTCTTCTTTCGCTCTTGGGCCCGAATCATCACTAGCAAGTGTCTCGATGTTATTCCCTTCCCATCTAGCTTTAGATCTTCGTGGTGGTATCAGTGTGTTTGAATAATCTGTGCATTTGAATTATTGTGTCTATTGTAACTCTACGATTGTGTTGTGTGTATTTGTTGCCAACTGAAAGATGTTATATAGTATCAACTATCAAATGTAATGTGCAGTTGTGTAAGTCGACGATCCATACACATTTGATTAATTCGAATAACATAACTTAAAGGAAGGTATTTGTTTATGAAACAAAATAGGTAGATTATGTTGGTGATTTTAGTGAAATCATCTGTGCATTTAATGTAATTGGATTCACAACAAGATATATGGGGTTGTTAGTTAAATTATAACACGGGTTAGGAGGTGTTGAGTGCACACTAAGAAACTTTAAAAAATTCCCCGAAAGCGAAGTGCAGCTAAAAGTATCAAGGGGCTTTTGCGTGCATTTTGATTCAATTTAAGGGTGCACCCATTTGGCAAAAATCTTACGTCCACCCCTGATCTTCTTCACGTACCGAATGTGAAGTAAACAACATTTGAATTTCAAAATGTGAAAATATATGGTTTTCAAAATTTCGATCACGAGTATTTTGACATGAGACGATATTCATACTAATATATTTACTATATTATAAAACATTTGACAAACAGATTATATCAAAAAGTGTATTTTAATATCTTTAATTTGATTCTAATATCAATAATTTTCCCCCAATTTAATAGGGTTTTCAATTTTTCGACCATGTGCATATTTACATGCGAGTGTATTCATATTAATATTGTTACTATATTATAACTCTCGTTTTCTTAAAATATCTTAAAGTTCAAGTTTGCAACTTATTTTTGTATACATACAGCTTTCAAAGCTTCGCATTTGACTTTCATATAACTAACTGATAAACATGTTCAAATACAACATGAACATCATGCCCTATGACATAGCAAAGTGCTCTATATAAAAAAACAAAGAATTAAGATGAACATGAATCATGATTCATAGTTCGAGTTCTCAACATTGGAATTGAGATATATTGGGGCAAAAAGTTGATTACCGTCAACCCTAGTGGCCTCACATGGAATTTGCCTCCAAGAACACCAATGTGAGGGGGATTTTTGTCTCACTCAACGGATGAGGCTACTTGGAGGACTAAGATCGAACCTAGGACACAGGGACGGACCAAAAGTTGAGCATACAGTGGCTCGTGTCACTGCTTCGTTCTACGTAGTAATGTAAAAAATTAGAGAATCATGAAAAGTGCAACGATATCAATTTGTTATGTGTCATTGTATATATTTTGAAACTACAATGAGTACACAAGTCTCCTTGTTTTGGTTGGTTTGCAAGACTTTTATTCCACTTCAGACCCGAGTTTGAGTCTCTTTAGTGTCATTTTCTTAGTTTTTAGCTTTTAATTTCAGATTTATTATGTTTTTAACAAATTACAACAAAAGGCTTGAACATAACAATGAACTAACCACCAGACCGGTCTTAAATTTATGAAAAGTATTCATATATTTGGGTAAAGTCATATCACGGTTTTGCCACCTAAGCCACACACAATAGACAAAACTGAGATATATTTAAACGCATTATACAAATATACTTGTAGTATAATAGTAAGTCTATATACACACACACTAAACGTTCCATTTTGTTTGTATATCGATATTGCAAGTGGACGTATGCCATGACGAAAATATGTAGTTGTTTATGAATGGCCTCCAAAGGTATTTTGAGTGTTCAATTATCTAATCGCTAAGGGTTTGATAAGAATTTATTTTGTTTTTTCTTACAGATTTCTTAAATTAAAAAAAAACATAAATATAGAAAAAACGAATAATTTAACTTATTGATTTAAAAGTTCACAAATCAGAACTTTTTGCGTAGATGGATTGAGTTGTATTTGCTAAACATGAAAATACAAAAACAGTAACAAAGAGGTGCATAAGTCAATCAACCAATCATTTGAAGTTGTTTAGATCAATGATTGATTAAGACAATACTCATATTGAATTAATTATTATTGAGTATTATTTATAAATTGTAACAGATGCGAAATCAAAAAGAAAGAAGGAAATTTAGTGAACATTATAATAAGAATGATCTACTACATCGTTCAAAGCCATCCTAATAAAGCATTTAATAGAGATTACAAATTAATAAAACCAATAACTGTGTTTCATATTAAGACATTATGAATAAGTTGTTAAGACGAAGTTGGACAATGTAACAAATTCTATTCTTTTTAAGGATTAAATCGAACAAGTTCTATCCTTATAGAATACTTTTATAAAAATTAAAACATTTTTAAATTATAAGTATCAGTCATTTGATGTCTTTTCTGGTGAAAAATATTTCTTTTAAAGTATAAGGACCAAATATGTAAAGAAGCACAACACGAAGGATTGGAGGCGCAAGAATTCTTTAGGTATAAATTAATTAATTTCAATTATACATTTATTCGTAAATATTATTTATTTATTATTTACAATACTTGTTAATTATGTTAATTATTTTTATATTTTTTTGTTATTAGTAAATATATTTAGTTATCAAAAT